CTGTGATAGTAGCAGTAACAGTGCAGTAACAGTAAATTGCTATGGATGTCAAGGATACAGTTTACAAATAGGACAAACATTCATTCAGTAAGAAATATCATTTTAGAAAGCAGTACAGTTGATTATTCAGAAAATATTCGTGATTGAACATATCTTTACAACATTGTTACTCACAGAGCACTGGGCTAATAGCAACTAGTGAGCGTCCTCAGATGCCAACCCTACACAGTTATAGAACGAACACACACTAAGTTACACACTTGGGAATCAATGACTCAGTCCCTACTTGAGTCGGTGTGGTTCTACATCAATAACCTCATTAAGATGCCTTAAACTAGGCTTAGGAATGCCTAGGATGAAATGAAGATGAAAAGATGTACTTTAAAACAGTTTTCAAAGTTTTCAGAAAACAGGGGTCTCGCTCGAGCGTGGCTTTCTACGCTCGAGCGGATATGTAGATAAAAGAGATTCGCTCGAGCGTGACTTCTTTCGCTTGAGCGGACTATAAACTCATGAAAAGTACTGAATGCATACAATTCACGCTCGATGGGCGCTCGACTTCCGCTCGAGCGTGAGACATAAGTCCTCGCTCGAGCGAGCATTTCCTCGCTCAAGCAGACTGTAAACATATGAAAAGTACTAGATGCACGCATTTCACGCTCGAGCGTTACTTTTCCCGCTCGAGCGGGATGCATGTACTCAGAGTGTACGCTCGAGCGTGAAGTATTACGCTCGAGCGTAGGTCCAAAATCTAGAATTTCCAGATTGAACCTCCAAGCTCAAATTCAACATTTAAAGCATCAAATTCGATTCTTTTGGGCCAATTTTCTAGAAAACACTTTAAAACTCATAATATGACATGTTTCGAAGATCAATTTGCAAAATCAAAGCCCAAAGGTAGCTCAATTAAACACAAATCCAAACAAAACTTCATGAACATAATGTATATGTAACATGCAAGTGTTCAATTGAAATCAAAGCTTCAAATACTTGATCAAATGAGTCAATTCACTCAAAAACATGATGAATTCATGGACCATAGCTAGAATATAGGCATGCATGTGACGATGTCCATGAAATCAACCTCAAAACTTAACAATGTGTACATGCATGCATGATTCAAGCTTCAATTCAACAATTTAAAACCAATTCTAGACTTAGATCACTAATGGCTCATGGACCATGCAAGATACAACTAGAATTCAAGTTCAAGAAGATGATTATCCTACCTTAGGTCTTCAATTTCAAGTCTAGAAGCTCAATTATGCAATCTACTCTTCAATTCTTCTAATTTTCCAAGCAATTCTTGTTGAAACGAAAGCTCTCCTGACTCTCTCTCTCTCTCTCTCTCTCTCTCTTTCTCTCTCTCTCTAGTTGGTTTTGGTCTCAAGAAGGATGAGGAAATGACGTATGGAATAAACTAATTAAGTCCCAAACAAGTGCATAGGGAAATGGCCACTCAATGGCAAAATTATAATTAAAGCAACTAATGTAATTTAACATTATTTAATCGTTCCAAATCACGTTTCAATTAAACATACCATAAAATCACATAAATTCTAATTAGCATAAAACACTAATCAGTTTCAGATTTGGTCGCCGATAAGGCCTTCAATTTGCAGTTTAAAACATAAAACATCAACAGATCATTTAGCAGTCAAACAGATAGATTTGCATTTAAACTAATACACTCAATTGATCAGGTCAGAATTTCAGTCAGATCAGTTACTTAACATGCTTAACCACAGTTTAGCAGTAATCAGAGGTATATCAGTAAACAGTGGTGAGGGTTGTCACAGTTGGAGATGTGGCCAAGGTCGGCAATGAAGCCAATGAAGAAGAATGCGATAGCGGCAAAGGTAACTCTGATGAAGATGAAAAGGCGGCGATGGCTGAATAAGAAGAGTAGAGGTATGAGAGAAGGTTTGAAGAAAGAGAGCTTTTAACAGATAAAGCAAAAAAAGAGAGAATAAAGAGAGAAAGAGAAGGGGAAGAGAGAGAATTTTTAATAGATAAAATAAAAATAGAGATATTGTTCTATTCGTGAGAGAAGGCGGAGGTGGTGGATGGGTATTTTGGCCATTTTGTGATAAATTGTCTTTATGGACATAATAAATTAGCACATGAACCTTTAGGCAAGAAAAATCTAAGATTTAATTTTTGAACAGAGCTCCCTTTTTATAATTGAAGGATCCAAAATATTTTAAAATTAAGAGATAAAATGGCACTAAACTAAAATTTAAAAGGATGGAGTGTAATTAAGTTTTTTGGGGGCTCCAAATTTGAAATTTTGACTTCACGAAATTGCATATTCGGGCCTGGCCCAGTAAGTCAAAAACTACTGGTCAGTGGTGGCCTTGGAGCATGGGCCCAATGACCTGCACACTAAAACCGATATTTTTAAGACAGAAAAAACATGTTTAGTTCATAGAATTAGACTATTAATTTTCAAGTTGAATTTGAAATAAAAAGTTTTAGTCCAGAGTCCTGTCCACCGTGATATTTATAAAATATTAATTTTCAATTTTATATTATTTAATTATGAAATAAATTAAAATTTTAATAAAAATAAAAGAAAACTATGTACGTTACTTCTTTATAAGACTTAAATCAAAACTTTTATTTATTTCATAATTAAATTTTATTAATTTTCAAGCTTAAACAATTATTAAAAGAGTCTAAATAATTTAATTATCTTTCAAGGTAATAAGAATAATAATAATAATAATAATAATGAACTTAATCAACTCCACATTTTCTAGTTCAATAATAATAATAATAATAATTCATTTGGGGACTAAGCTTTCGTTTGGCATAAGTTAAAATGAGATTTTTTTACTAAAATAATCAAAAAAAGACAAAATAGACATTTTAACTCAATAAGACAAAATAGACATTTTAACTCAATAAGACAAAATGTCACATCTAAACCACAATCATTTCATTTTTTTCTATCACAAAAGTTTAAAAAAGCTAAAAAAAACTATCACAAATAAGATTTTTTAAACCCAGACTAAAATAGTCAAAAAGTCAATCCACATTCCAAACGAATCCTAAGAGTGTGTTTGGTAACGTTTATGTTTTCAGTTTATATTTACAAAAATTTTATAAACTGGTTTTTGTTTATTTTTAGAAAAACATAAACTACAAACACGTTTGGTAATTGACAAAATGTTTTAAAAAATTTAAAAATATAAAAAATAGTGAGAAATGGCAAGTGGTGGCAAGTGGCGGCGAAAGACGGTGGTAGAAAGTGGTGACGGTGGGTGGCGGGTAGTTGGTGGTGATGGGTGGGTGGGTGACGGTGGCGGGTGGTGGGTGTGGCGAGTGGGTGGTAGTGGTGGCGGCCGAGGCGGATGGTGGGTGGTGGTGGCAGGTGGTGGTGGGTGGTGGCGGCGGATAGGTAGCGGGTGGTGGTGGTGGGTGGTGGGTGAGTGGGTAACTGTGGCGGGTGGGGTAGTAACGAGTGGGTGGCAGTGGCAAGTGAGTGGTGGATAGCGGTGGTGACGGTGGGTGACGGTGGCGGGTGGTGGTGGTGGTGTAGCAGTGGTGGGTGGCGGGTGGTGGTGGTGGGTGGGTGGGTGGGTGACGATAGCGTGTGGTAGGTGATAGCAAGTGGGTGGTGGTGGGTAAGTGGCGGGTGGGTGGTAGGTGATGATGGTGGTGGTGGTGTGGTGGTGGGTGGTGGCGGGTGGGTGGCAGGTAGCTGGTGGTGGTGGGTGGTTGGTGGTGGCAGGTGGGTGGTGAGTGGTGGTGGCAAGTAGGTGGGGGTGGTGGTGCGAGCGGTGGATGGTAGTGGCGAGCGTATGGATGGTAGTGGCGGGTGGTGGGTGGTGGCAGGTGGATGGCAGGTGGGTAGTGGGTAGTGGTGGTGGTGGTGGTGAGTGGGTGGTGACGGATGGGTGATGAGTGGTGGTAGGCAGGTGGTGGTGGCGGAAGACGGTAGTGGAAAATGGTGGCGGGGGGTGGCTAGTGTTGGGTGGTAAAAAAAAAAAACTCAAAACTCAAAACGGAAACACATTTTTTGTGTTTTCATTTTTTGGCCAAATTTATAAACTGAGACCATTGATTTATAAATCAAAAATTTTACCGAACAAGTTTTTATTTGAGTTTTTTAAATTTTTATAAATATAAACAGAAAACTGAAAACGTAAGTGTTACCAAACGGCACCAGTATTTTAATCAAATTGTCAAAAAAATTACTATAAGTTGTCACATTACTTTTTTTATTTTTCTGTACATCTTTTCATAAAAAGTCAAAAAAATTCTAAATAACATGTTTCTAAACGAGATCTAAGTTAAATGGACATGTCTAAGATTTAAAAATTATTCTAAATTCATATTTAGAATGATTATATTAAGTTTGAGGTCAAGTTGGATCAGATTTGAGACGATATATGTACTCTTAAGAGTTGTCTGGGATGACCTAAATAAGTATATTTTTTATCTTTTTACGAAAAGATGTATAAAAAAAAAGAAATAATATGATAAAAAAATTAATTATTTTATATATGCCAAACTTGAACTTAGTACCATACAGCATAAGTCCAACCCACCAAATCCAACATGGCTAAAGTAGATGTTTGTCAACCTCTAACTTGCCTAAGTTTATAACGTAAGATATACCGTGCAAAAAAATAAGGAGAAATTACCTATTAGTTGCATCATCAGAAAATAATTACAGAATAATGAAAAAATGTATGATTTTAATTATTAATGCATATAAAATTTATCATATATCTGTAATTTTTTTCAAAAATTTACATTGGATTAAAATTTACCTAAAAAGTAAAACGAAAGAACAAGCCAAACAAAGAGATGTTTTGGAAAATAAGTTAAAAACTAATTTTTAATGTTTTTTCAAAAACATGTAAAAAAAAATGAGAAGGTGATATGATTTAAAAAAAAGTGAAAAAGTTAAAAAAAATTTACTTTTAATTCAGATGCCAAAACAGGCCAAAATTGGAAATACTACAAAATATTGTGGGGGCAAAGTGCAAAATCGAGCACAACGTTGTTCCTCGTTTTGGTTTTCAGCCCTGCCTCTGTGTCTCCTCTCTCTCTTCTGTGGAAACTCCCCCGAGAAACACGCCCTCGCTGGGCAGAGGTAGAGAGAGAGAGAGAGGTCTTCACACTCTTGAAGTCTTCGAGTCCAAGGTAAGTCCATTTGCTCCATAAAAAACCCTATTTTCTCACACTGGTTTCATCCTAAACTTCAATTTTGAGTTTCAGATCTTCTTTATCTGTTGAATCTATAGCTTTCTTGATGTAATCAACTATTCTAGCTCATATTCAATGATTATTCGTTGTTTTTCGTATTCCCGTTTTTTAAAATCGAAATTGTTGCTCATTTGTTAATTTTATATGACCTAGATGTTTCAATTGAAATTATAGTGAGTTGTTGTTTTGTTTGAATCGGATGAAATGTAAAGAGGCAGTTTTTACGTGAAAGGACTAGTTTTTCTTTGGAAGGAAAGAAAATTTGGGATAGAGATAGTCATGTCAAATTTAAGATAAACTATATCCATTGACCTGCATTATGTTCTGAGATATGGGCCAGTTTGGCATAGATTTTACAAATCAATTCTCAGAAGAAAACAGAAAAATTTATGAACATTGTGAAAAAATTTGTGACCTTGGTGTTTTAGGTCATCTTGGTACTCTTAACTGGAAAAGAAAAACTGGGAACAAAAAGTAATTTTTGGATGTTTCATGAAAATTGGTTCTTTTTTACTTGATTTTCTGAATACTGTTTCAGTGAGAGAACAACAAACCAAATGAGAATTTGTTCCTGTTTTATGTTTTCTGTGATGCTTACACGCAAAACTGTTAAAAAACCTTTCTTTTGAAGTCCTATTTATTAGATGTGTAATTTGTGTCAAAGCTTCCAAAATTTATTGTCGTGCTTCTTTAGTCTTGTGAAAGAAACTATATACCTGAAATTTTTATTTTTCCATATAGAAAAAACAAATTATTTGAAGCACTTGTGGTTGAAACAAACAAAGCATTACTTTTTGAAACAGGTAGTAGTCTACATAGCCTATCCCCGGCTTGAATATGAAAAATTATCAAATCCATCATTTTTTGGCCCATTCTCATTCTCTTAAGATCATTGTTTTGTAGGTAGAGCGTGAATCTCTCTGATCCAGTCTTCATCGGAGTAAAATTGCAGCTTTGCTTTCAACATTATTGTAATTCTTCAGGGTGTTTAAAGTGTTAACATTTAGATACATATGTATATATATGCACAACAGTTGAATTGCGCTACAAGATTATAAAGAAGTTTTTCATTTACCCAATTATGGAGCCCCTGTGGAAGCTAGCATATCTGTTGGAGCCAGCTCCACTTACTCTTATTTTCACTGCAATAGCTGTGACATCTGGATCGGCTTTTCGAGCCCTAAATTATGGAAAAGAAATGGAGCGAAACCGTGATTTTTCAGAAGCATCCATTACTTTAGATAGGTCCCAAGCACTGATGATTCCGATAATGAGCTCTTTCAGCCTGCTGTTGATGTTCTATCTGTTCTCTTCTGTCTCACAACTCCTCACCGCTTTCACTGCCATTGCCTCCGTATCATCCCTTTACTTCTGCATATGGCCTTACATTGCCCATGTCAAATCACAATTTGGTTTGTCTGACCCTTTTGTGTCACGGTGTTGTTCCAAACCATTTACCCGAATCCAGGGGCTTTTAGTGTTGCTTTGCTCTGGTATTGTTGCAGGTTGGCTGGTTTCTGGACACTGGATATTGAACAACTTGCTGGGAATTTCTCTCTGTATTACATTTGTGAGCCACGTGCGCCTTCCCAACATCAAAATTTGTGCTATGCTTCTTGGTTGTTTGTTTTTGTACGACATATTCTGGGTTTTCTATTCTGAGAGGTTTTTTGGTGCGAATGTCATGGTTTCGGTGGCAACGCAGCAAGCATCTAATCCTGTTCATACAGTGGCTAATAGTTTGAATCTTCCTGGATTGCAACTGATTACGAAAAAGCTGGAGCTTCCAGTCAAAATTGTCTTTCCTAGGAATTTATTTGGTGGAATGGTTCCTGGAAGTAGTGCTGTTGACTATATGATGCTTGGTCTTGGCGACATGGTAAAACATCTTTTCTCTCTTGTGACTACATTAGTCTATTGTGATTCTTTCCTCCAATTATGGATTGTGGCGTCAGAGTTTATTAGAACTAAAAGTGCAGTGGTGTGTTGGTTTTAGACTTTCGTGTATGCTGCTCTTGAAGGACAATAAGTATCCACTATATTTCTGGGTCTATGACTTTCTACAGCTTTGTTATTCCTTTGTGTTAAAAAAGACATACATGAAAGATACCAGCTATAAAATGTAAAATTCATCTTTGTGCACCCAGAAGAGTTTGGGGTACATGACACCTATAAACGTCAGGTTATCTTTCATGTTAGCATGCTGGTGGGAGTGTCCAAGTTGGGTGCTGTATATGTGTTTTGTAATGCTCTTGGGTTTGCTTTATGGTTTTGTAATTCATCTATAATTCTTCCTTGGGATGGGATTCTTGAATCAATATCAGTTGGATCAAATTCCCAAAGGGTGCATTAATTTCTTCTAATTTTGAATCATTAGTATTTGCACACACCATCCATATTTTGCTATTGTATGCCAATTGTAAAACCAAAATACATTGTATTTTCTTTCCCAAAATTGCTTTTGTGGTTGTGCTGGTTTTTGTATAGGTATTGTATGCCAATTGTAAAACCAAAATACATTGTATTTTCTTTCCCAAAATTGCTTTTGTGGTTGTGCTGGTTTTTGTATAGGATCACTGTGCAATTATCTACCTTCTTAATAAGATTTCCCGCAATTTTCTGAGTTTTTTGGGTTGTATTGGTTTTGTTGCTATGCTTCTGGCCTTGGTTCTATGTTTTGATCATAGAAAGAGCAGGGATTCTGTGAATCCATTGGAGGATTTGACTTCCTCCAAGGGGCACAAATACATATGGTTTGCCATTTCTGGATATGCAATTGGATTGGTAACTGCTTTAGCTGCTGGCATTTTGACTCACTCACCCCAACCAGCACTTCTGTATCTGGTATGCTATTATTAATATCAAATTGCTTTTTTGTTTTTGTTTTCTTTTTCAATGAGTATAGTGTTCCTGGAACTGCTCTACTACATACAAAGAAACCAATTATAGAACCGGACACAACCCTATCATGTGAGAGGGTTCTGTGATTGGTTTATGTGTTCCTTAGACTTTTTTGTTCCTGGAAAGAAGCTGCATGGTCTTTATATTAATCATATGTCTAAACCTCTCGCTGCCATGCGAGAGAGAGAGAGGCTCCTTATTTTGCCATTCAAAAAAACCATCTGCCAGATTTGTATTGGCACCTCTGTTTTTGTGAATAAATGACTACATACTACTTTTTCATATGAGTTCCCATTTGTAGAAAAATTTGAACTTTTGGGCAGCATAAGAGCTGGGAAATCTGTGAGCTGATCTTCAATGGAATTTTAGGGCGATATGTGTTAGATTAGTGCTAAGATGTGAGAATTTGAAATCTCTTTAAAGAAAGTGTTTTTCTTCTTGTCCTTCTCCTTCTATTTATTTCATTTGTTATATATCATCATTTTTTGAAATGGCGAAAGTGAGCAAAATTTAGCATGGTGTTGCATGTTGCTAAAGTTCCTTTTAGTTTAGGATAAATTATAAATACACCCTTTGAGATTTGCTTAAAATACGATTTACCTTCTATAGTTCTAGAAATTATATCCCGCCCCTTGAAATTTCTAATTTCATAACAAATGGTTCATTTTATTAATAAATCATCAAGTCCATTAACAGTTTTTAATGATGTCAAAAATTTGTTTCAATTAAAAATTTAGGTAATTTTATCATTGTATGGGAGAGCAGTTAAGAATTTCATTTTTTTAGTTAATTCTATTAAATAAAAAAAATTAATGGGGTATTTGTAATTTTTCAAACCAAAGAGGGCAATTCGTATTTTAAACAAATCTCAAAAAGTGTATTTGTAATATTGAGATGGTGTAACACATACTTTTATTGAATCAGTAATTTTTCCCTCTTTTCTGATGAATATAGGTACCGTCTACTCTGGGACCCATAATCATCCTTTCTTGGATAAGAAATGAGTTAATGGAGCTGTGGGAAGGAACGACGACACCAAATATGAATGATAAAATTCATTTAACCGAAGTTTAAGCTGCGGTCTTCATCATCCAGCTACAAATCAGTAGCTCTTGCAGAGCCAATTTAAAGTGTAAAATTTCTTGTGATAGTTCTTCTACGCTTCCTGAACAAACTTTGATGGGAAAAATAGTTATTTGTTTAAAGTTGAAATTTCTATGACCTTTTGGACTACAAAAATGTTGCCAATCCTCCAATCTCAGATTCTCAATAATACACATAACATGCATCTCTATCATTCTACTTGCTGACCATTGCATTGCTGCTACATATAGTTCACAACATAGCATTTGCTTCGAACTGTCACTTTTATACAATCTGTATTATTGAGACACTCCAAGACTGCAGAAACTTTAGTTGATGTGTTAGAATGGTAGTTGGTTAGTATCTTGAAACATGCAGGGTTTAGGTATAGAATTTGAACACTGCTGTCTTTTCCCGTTCTGATTGGGTGGCGAGAAAATTATATCCACTGTCACCCATTTTACATGAGATGTTGCAGCATCTTTCTGAGTACCTACTCTCATCTGGAGAAATAACTGGAATCATCAAAACATTGGTGAAGAAGCACCCAATGGCAAGAGATTGCCCTCAATGCCACTCCAATCTACCAAACCCAATGGACCTGAGTTAGATTCTGACCCAAGTAACCAACACCTAATTGGACCAATTACTCAAACTCATTCTCCGTTTGTCTTGGCTGAAAATATTTTTAATAAAAGTGTTCTCATGAAATGTTCTTTTAGAGTGAACATTTTTTATATTTGGTGGCATCCTTAAAATAAATATACTAATAATTTTATTAGTGATGGTTGTTGGCAGCAGTGTTGTGGTGGTGGTGAAATTTTAATCTAAAAAGTATTTTTTATTGATTTTTAATTTTTGTTATACTAAATGTCAAAAATATAGATAAAAAATGTAATAAAATATTTTTTAGAGAATAATATTTGCCCAAACAAACGAGTGTTTTTTTAGTTGGGAACTCAATAGTCATGACTCACGACACATTGAGTCCTTATCTATCTATGTATTTTTTTAATCTTTAAATTGAATGAATGTTCACTTGCTTATGCAGCAAACTATTTCGCAAACTATAATACTACTACACAGAAGAGGAGCACCTAATCAAACACAAAAGCATATAGGTCAGACAATCGGGTGGCCATTCAGATGACAAGATGATAGTTGTTGTAGATAAAATGATAGTTGATCAATCGGCTGGACGACCAAGTGATCATTTGAATGATAAAATGATAGTCATGGTCGACCACCCGATCGTTTTGCCGGTCATTCGGCCTATGTGCTTCTGTGTTTGATTTTGTGCTCTCTCTGCGTGTGTGTAGCATTATTCTTTCACAAATGTCTAAAATAATAAATTAAAAGAAGGAAAATGATTTTTCCCCCAAAATTTGTCCCCTCGAACAGCCCGAAATTTAGAAGAGAGAGAGAGAGAGAAGAGAGGGGAAGAGGAGATGGCAGCTCGTCGTCGCAGCCCCGCCCGCCGTCACCTTTGCCCGATCGTCGCAGCTCGTCGCAGCCCCGCCTCCGCCTCCGATCGTCACAGCCCCCGCCCCTGCCTCTGCCTCCGCCTCTTCTTCTTCTTCTTCTTCTTCTCTTCTTCTTTCTTCTTCTTCTTCTTTTCTGATTGAAAAAAAAAATAAATAAATATCATTTTAATGTAAAAAAAATATCATTTTAGACGCCCTCTCTTAAATTCGAGGGATTCAGACGCCCTCTCTTTTGAGCTACGTTGCACGATTCTTAAAAAAATATCATTTTAATGTAAAAAAATTGTATAATGATAGTCGTAGTTGACAAGATAATAGTCAGACGATCAGGTGATCGATTGAATGACAAAATGATAGTTGCAATCGACCACCCGATCATTTTACCAATCGTCCAATCTACATGCTTCTGTGTTTGATTATGTGCTCCCTTATGTGTGCGTAGCATTACTCTTTCACAAATGCATACAATATTTTAAGAAAAAACCATTTTGGTGAGAAAATAATAAATAAAAAATATCATTTTAATGTAAAAAATTGTATAATTTATCTATTTTTATGTTGCATAATTATTAAAATAATATTTTTTGTCTAAAATTGGACAACAGTTAATTTTATATACAATTTTCATGCAATATATTTTTTTGTAATTGTTTAATTTCAAATAAAAAAATCTATTATTTTTTACTTCAAATTTTTAAAAACTCCATTATGTCACAGTATTTTAGATAAAAAAATATTTTTTATATTTGTAAATCATTTTTTAACAATTATAGAAATTATAGAAATGCACAAATATATGTGTGTGCGTACGTCTTGGGATTCAAGATATCTGGTTATTCGGTTAATTAAATTTGGTGCTTGAGATCGGCAGAAAAGAGATATACAGACAGTATGACATTATAGACAGACAGAGACTGTTAGAGAGAGAGAGAGAGAGAGAGAGAGAGATCAGTCTTTCGTTATCTCTTTCAATACAAAACAAACACCAAACCCTAGAAATTAGCTTCACCTCACATCAAAAACCCCTAATTCCCAGGCACGGAGATAGAGAGAGAGTGTTTGCTATGTGACTTCGAAACATCTCTGTTTCATCTTCTTCGATATCGAACAACACCACCACTCGAACAACCTTCTCTGCAAATTGGGTTTATCCAAAACCCTAAATTTCACTTCTCTTCCTTCTTTCTACGCTTCAATTCGACACTTTCAACTTCAGATGACTTCGATTAGTAGTACGACATGGTCTCCGAGCTCTTTTCAGCTCCGATTAGCTCTCAATTGCAGAAAATCTCACACTGTTTTTGTTCGAATGCGTATTGGGACGAAGCTAGATCGTGGGTTTCGTGTGATTTCGCTTTCTGGAGATACTTCAAGAAATGGTAATGGACTTCAACAGCGTCCTAAGAGGAATTCTTCGTGGATCAATTCCAACTCTTCGGCAGACTCTTTCTCTGGTTGGTCTGGAAACGATGGTGGTGAAAAATCTGTCCACTCGCAGAGGAAGAATTGGCTTGGAGGTAAGAAAAAATCTTCAAGTTGATAAAATCAGCTAAATATGGTTGAGTTTCTTTTTTTTCTTTTTTCCGTTAAAATTTTCAAGGTGAATTTAATTATGAAGGGAAGCAAGGTTGAAATCTTTGTTGTTTAAGTTGATTAATTTGTGGAAACAGGTGCGCTATCATGTTGAATTCTTATATTATAGATGATGTTACAAGCTTTCTATCCATTTCATTATTTTGAGATAGCTAATTGATATTGAATTTATCGAAATTCGAGACTGGTATAGAATGTGATCAACTTGGATGGGGAATTTTTGTTCAAAATTCGGGTGCTTTCTGTGTGATATATTATCTGTATTTTGATGATTTTGGAGTTAATGCATATTTTTCAGGACTATTAACACTTCTCAAGTAGGATACTTTCAGGGATTGTAGGAGCAGGAGTTGCTGGGGTTGTTCTTGTTGCTGGGCTTACTTTTGCAACCTTGTCTATAAGCAAGCGGAATACTTCAAGTGAGTAGTTAATTTTTTTGTTTTTTTTATATGAAACTGATTAAAGTTGAAGGTTGTGGATTTTGATTTCAAAAAAGTTTGTTTTTAGATTTTCGTTGTCTGCATTAATCTTGGTTGTTAATCTACTCTGTGGTTTAACAACCCTTAACTATAGAGATACTCTTTTCTATAGTGTCTATTTGTGCTCACCAGTTTTCCTTTATATGTATGAATACCCATATCTGTATCTGCAGGACCGGCAGAAATGGAGCCCTTGACAACACAGCAGGAAGTGTTGTTGGACTCTGATGACCAAAATGATAGAGTTGTGCAGGATGAGGAGAGCAAGGATACAATGAAGGAAGACAGTTGTCTTAGCAAGACAGGTATAGATAATGATTCTTCTTTGTCTATAGAAAATAACGAAGCAACTAACGAAAATAGACAAAGTGGTTCCGATGTGGGGTACACATTCAATAGTGGTGATGGCATTACCAATGCTTCCATTCAAGAAGATTTGCAAAATGAATCAGCTATTGATGACATGTCAGTTGCTCCTGATAGAAGTCCAGGCACACCTCAACTGCCTGAATCCGAGATTGCTTATGGTTCTGTTGTGGCCTTTGAAAATTCAGATAGCAATCTTGTTGCTGAAAAATCAGAATCTGCTACTGAACTGAAAGAGAACCTTATTGATGCCAAACATACCAAATCGTCAGTCTCTGATGCTAATCCAACAAATCTTAACACTGGCACTGACAGGAAGGAGGGAGTGCCTGGCTCAAGCAGAACAGAAAATTCTAACTTCTCACTTTCAGCCGGAGAAGAACTTGACCTGAGCAAAACACAAGTCTCAGCTGAGGAAAATAAGTCATCATTGGAAGATCATAATTTAAATGGAGATGGGCCAAGTGGAACAAATTCAGTGTCAGCAGTAGCCTATCCATTTGCAAATGAACAAGACTCAAATACTTACAGTAGTATTAATGAAAATACATCATTTTTTGAATCAACAAATCCTGGGAATTCCTTCTCATCTGCTGGCATACCTGCTCCATCTGTAGTTTCTGCAGCTTTACAGGTGCTTCCTGGAAAGGTTTTGGTTCCTGCAGTTGTTGATCAGGTTCAGGGGCAGGCACTAGCAGCGTTGCAAGTTCTGAAGGTACCTCTTCTTGCACTGTTGGAAGAGTGGGAAGGTGTTTGGCTATGTGTTTTAATTATTTATTCACGTTTGTTTCCCTTAAATCTTTAAGTTTATCTGTTGAGATTCAACCACAAAACATTTCAAGAGTAAGGCAGAAAAGTAGACTACATTAAATCAAAATTGGATAAACTTTTTTTTTTGGCCACTTATGTTTAGTTGATGAGGAATAATGGAAGTCTCTGCATTTCTTTAGTTGACAAAGAAAGGTGAAGAAGAGTAACTAATGACTCAGCTGTGGTTCCGTGCTATTCTATCATTTCACACTTTACCCATGAACCTTGTATGTAACTTCGATTTTGCCATAGCCATTAGTATTGAGGGAAAACATGCGCGAGAATGAAGTTGAAGGTATTCTGAGTTTTTACATGAAAGCAAAACTTGTTGTCACCTTGGTTTTAAATTGTGAAGAAGATTTTTATCGAAGAACTTTTTGGAAAATTTCTGAAGACTATTATCAAGGAAGCTAATAAGAGTAGGAGAAGTTTTTGGATGCCTTTAGGGTATTTGCCAAGTGGTACCCAACGTGAATGTGATTGGTTTATACAATGAGGCCCATCACATTTGTATAGGTGTTTTACAAAACAACATGGGGGAAGTGATTGGTGATTGATGTAGGGTAATGCCATGTGACTCTGGGCACCTAAAAAAATTTTGAGTTGGAGAGAGCCTGGTCTATGCGCAAGTTCTAGGGGGGCTAAAAATGGGATCAGGGGTGAAAGGAAAGAAAAATTAGTATAAGAGGGACAGTGAAGAGCTAATCTGGAGGGACAGGTAATTGAAGCACTTGAAAAAAAACAGTTTCTCACCTTACCATATGTTACATGGATGGTCAATGTGTTTGAACCAGTTTTGGGACACATATCTGACACACACTCATTTATTATCATATATTTCCTAAAGCATGCCCGAGAAAGAGAGAGACGCTATGCTGTGTTATAGGATATGGTTATTAGTGGAATCTAACTCCTTGATGCTCACCTGCGTGCAGAGCAGACCTGTATGATGTAGGGTATAGAAGAAGCCAGTTTGGAAACTTTTTTCATGATTATTATTCTTCTAAAGTCTTTGTTTATAGGAGTTGAAAGGCACAAGGTGTAGGCTTGAACTTATTTCCTAGGTTACTAAATGCATTAAAAAGTGAATAGAAGTTCCTTTCCACCCTTTCATTCCCTTCACCTGTCAATCCAATGCAACCCTTGTGATAATAATAGCAAAATAATCTGCAATAGAGTTCTTTTGTTTGCCACTATGCACTAAGTAATAATTGCTAACCTCATTTTGTTGAATAAAACAGTGGTATCTTATAAATGCTCTTTAAAAAAAAAAAAAAATTTTGAACAAATAAGAACACAACACTCCTTCCAGTGTAACGGTGCAAACTAAAGGAGAGGTTGGAGGATGATAAAATACAATTCATACTGTGCCTAGCCCCAAAGTTAGTTATATTGAACTTAATTTTTGTCTATTATTTTAGTTGTTATAGTGGGAAACAAAATACTTTTCAAGGGGATGAGAGAGAAACAAATCAGTGGAAAAGAGATATTGTCCAATTAAACAAAGGAAAATAGAAGTAAAAACAAATGCCCAAAGAACTAAAGGAAGGACAAAAAAAATGCATGATCTCATCTCTGGAAAAGTTCTTTCAAGGCACATTGCCTTGCTTGGCTAGGAATTTGGCTTTTGAATTTCTGATCATATGGGTCAAGAGAATATGCATTCTTTGACTCATATATCTTAAACAAAATCTGAAAAGGTTGTTGTATTGTTGTGGACCCATTTGATGGCACACAGAGTTACCTACAAATTTTTTGGAGAAGCTTAACATTTTCTTCCCTGGGTAGGTCTGTCTTATTGTCCTCTTTCAGTTTCAGGTAGTTGTAGAAGGCCTTTGCTGTCTTCTCTTGTAGCCACCCTTGACAATATCGTTTTAATTAAATGAATTATTTAGATAACTAGACCCACAAAAACTAAGGCATCATTTTATCTAGGCTACCATTTTGTTTACCCATTGTTAGTTTCTTTATCTAATTGATTGTTAGAACCTTCCACAGTTATAGTCATCTAATGTTCGTTTGAGGAGTTGATTTCTTTTGGTGCAAAAGACTTAATGTTACTTATCAAGTTTACCAAAGAAATAGCTCATAATATTTGCTTCCTTATAAAGCTTTTCTTCATAAGTAAGCTTCCCTGTATAGCTAGAGCAAGGGCATTAATGCCTCATTTATAATACCCAGTTACTGAAATGAAAACTTTCTAGTTGTCCCAACTGAAGGATTTGGTAAATTAACTGCAAAGATAATGGAAAGTTTGTCCCCAGAATTTGAATACCTTTAATACTTACAGATTATCGAGGCTGAGGTTCAACCTAGTGATTTATGTACTCGTCGTGAGTATGCTCGTTGGTTGGTTTCCGCTAGCAGCGTCCTGTCAAGGTATGCATGTGACTGTTGTTTGCGTGACATGTAGAATGGCGATCTTGGACCTAGTTTAATATTAATTTATTGGAATTGCAATTTTCTTCTACTTCTTGTAGGAACTCTGTCTACAAAGTGTATCCTGCTATGTATATAGAGAATGTCACCGAACTAGCATTTGATGATATTACACCAGAAGACCCTGACTTCCCGTCCATTCAAGGTAGCAATACAATTCACCTTTTTGAGCTAAAATGATCATAGGATAGGTAGCTTTTGTTGATTTAAGAGTTCATTTTGTCACATAATGGTCTCTAAACAAGTTTTACATTTCAGGCTTGGCAGAAGCTGGACTCATCGCTAGCAAGCTTTCAAGATATGATATTCCTTCTTTAGATGAAGACCAGAGTTCCCTTTGCTTCTCTCCTGAAAGGTAAGATTATGCAATTGGTGGGGAATGTAATTTTTCATGCTCTCCTGTTGGATTCTTGTTTTCTTGAGTATCAAGGTTTTGCTGGTTTCTACTCTGCCATGAGCAAAGCAGATACATGGGTGGTTTCTATTCTCTATTTGTGCATCTATGAACGAAACATCTTTATGCTTCATGTATTCTCTTGGTTTCTTATGTTGGTGGATTTACCGATGCTGCTAGAGTATATTCCTACTAGTGTTGGCATGTTCTTACATGTTTGTCTCCTTTCATTCACTGATCTTGATGCATAATGTATCTTTCAAAATCATATATATAATTAGAGCGTTTGTTGGTATCTCAGATTCATGGATAAGTTACAAGGTTAAAGATTTCTATGTTTCCTCATTTTTTTCTCTTCTGTATATCAATTATTTGTGCAGCCCTCTATCCCGTCAGGATCTTGTGACTTGGAAGATGGCCCTAGAGAAAAGACAGCTTCCACAAGCTGACAGAAAGGTGCTATAAATTGAAGAGCGAGTTTATGCTTCAATTACTCATCATGAATAGTTTTAAGTGTAACTGATAAGTTTTGAATTTAATAACCTTTTTGCTCATGGATAGATCCTGCAGCAGCTTTCAGGTTTCATAGACATTGATAAGATCAACCCTGACGCATGCCCTGCGCTCATGGCTGATTTTTCTGCGGGAGAAAACGGAATAATAGCACTTGCATTTGGTGGGTTGTGTTTCCCTGTAACTGCTCCTTAGAGGACTTGTCCTGAATTTGATATTGAGGTTCGTTTTTATGATAGGTTACACAAGGCTGTTCCAGCCAGATAAGCCAGTGACTATAGGCCAGGCTGCTATTGCTCTTGCAACCGGTGAAGGTTCTGATATAGTGAGTGAGGAGCTTGCACGTATTGAGGCAGAATCTATGGCAGAAAATGCTGTTGCTGCACACAGTGCTTTAGTAGCTCAGGTTGAGAAAGATGTCAATGCAAGTTTCGAGAAGGAACTGTTATTGGAAAGAGAAAAGATTGATGCTGTGGAAAAATTGGCCGAGGAGGCACAGCAAGAATTGGAAAGGTTAAGAGCCGAGCGAGAGGGAGATTTTATTACCTTAATGAAGGACCGTGCTGTGGTTGAATCAGAAATGGAAGTTCTCTCGAGATTAAGGCATGAGGTAGAGGAGCAATTGGAGAGCCTTATGACTAATAAGGTGGAGATATCATATGAAAAAGAAAGGCTCAGTAAGCTTCGGAAAGAAGCAGAATTTGAAAACCAAGAGATTGCTCGGTTACAACATGAGCTGGAGGTTGAGCGAAAAGCCTTGTCGATGGCCAGGTGAGATTGATGGCATAGACATATTGTTATTTTGAATAATAATGACCTTGTGAATTAAAATGGGAAACATACACAATGAAGGGGATAGATTTGTATAATGCTTCTGCTGTTAGTTTTTGAAAAGCTAATTATGATGGACTCCTAAAGGAATCATATAGCACACGTGTAAATGAGGTGCTCTACCTAACTGAGCTGTAAAAATTAGATGTTTGTGATTATATATGTTATTGATAATGTAAGAATTTTACACCAGCGTATGCACCATGGTTCCAGTTTTTCCCAGTTTCTACAGTCAGATTCATACCTTTCTGTAGGCCACTAACATGGTTTTTGATATATGACAAATTTACCTGAGAACAATACAATGGCATCAGAAATCTGATGTCAGTTAAGGTGTTTGAACCAACAAAATATGCTAGCAGATAATCCTTTGTTGGATAGCAAATTTCTGTCTATGCTCTTACATGGTTTTTGCATTACTCTTTCATGCAACGTTTACCTTTGTATGATATCATTTAGCAATCACTTTTCTATTGAATATTTGGCATTAGTTGAATTGTGCATGAACAAACTTTCAATAGCTATATTGTTATGAAACTTTACATTTGAATATTGCAACTTGTAATGATGGCTTTAAGTCTTGGTCTTAGTTGCACAAAGCAGGAGCAGTGGCAAAGGGGCAAGGGTATATAGAAGACTAAGGGTGGGGAGGGGAGCATTCATGTATTTTATATATTAATATGTTAGAAAGATTTTTTTTTTTTTTTGCTTGGAATATATATGTTAAATGACTACATTACACTACACTACCCCTTTAACTATTAAATATAAGCATGGTAAATTCTCATTGCATTGTCTAGCATATGTTCATCTTTTTTGACAGTATATGCTATATATTTATTCTCCATTAATTTTCTTTTGCCTTGGTAGTTTTTCTTTTGTTTCTTTGGGATTCATATGTTTGAGTGGTCTCATCCCAGTTAGAATCATGACTTTATCTCAATGGGAATGCAATTCTAACTCAATTCTTCCTCTAAACTGTGGGATTGCAATTCTATAGCATCAGTAGGCAATTCCTGCAACCAAGGTCTTGGTATTGCTTTCAGTATTAAGGTCCATCAAAGCTCAATATAAAAGGTCGAATTTAATGGGTAAAAAATTAAAGTACAATTGATTTTGGCCTGAGAGCTATATTACATCTCATCCTCTTAACCGTTTAAGTTTTGACCACAACTTTTGCATATTTGATTTCTCTAACAACTATTCCATTCACAAACTTGTCAAACCAGGTCTTGGGCTGAAGATGAGGCAAAAAGAGCAAGAGAGCAAGCAAAAGTCCTAGAAGAGGCTAGAGATCGCTGGGAGAGGCATGGAATCAAAGTCGTCATCGACGATGACCTCCGTGAAGAGACTGACGTTGGAGTTACATGGGTCGATGCCGGTAAGCAATTCTCAGATGAAGGAACTGTGAGCAGGGCTGAGAAATTAGTAGACAAACTCAAAGCGACGGCAGTTGATGTTAGAGGGAAAGCCAAAGATACTATTTCAAAAATCATCCATATTATTCTTTCTTTGATATCTGTTTTGAAGGAACGGGCCTCTAGGGCATGCCAACGGGGAGGAGAGATAAAAGATGCTGCCGTGTCCAAGATGGGTAGCTCTTTGCAAGAGTTGCAGCAGAGCTCAGCTGGATTCACTGTGGCTATAAAGGACAGTGCAAAAAGGGTCGCTGGAGACTGCAAGGAAGGAGTTGAGAAGCTCACTCAAAAGTTCAAGACATGAACTCTCTCTGCTCGACTTTCCATGTGATTTCTGCTAAGAAGCCGCTGATGTATTTTTTGTTGTTTTCCTGTTTTGACCCTCGTTGTTTTTGGTCGTTGTTTTTGGGGTTATGCATTTAATTCAACCTTTTACCGGAAAATGGGGACGAAAAGGAAAATGCAGTGCCCATCATAAAATTTTCGTACTGGGGAAAATTTTGAGCAGGTAATTGTGGAATTGTACACTCCATTAGGACTATATATGTGTCGTTAATAAATCCTAGTTGAGTTCTAGTTGATTTCATTTTTAATTGATGGTGGTTTTCTACATAAAATGTCAGCGTTGTATACATGTACTGATCCATGAAGCATGTTTGAGAAAGAATAAGAATTTGAGACAATCCTTAAGAATGCCATTTTATTTCTGGGTTTACTTGTCGTGGCGCAGTTATATGTACATTCTATTTAGGCTTTTTGGTATTGTCCTGTGGCGCAGTTATATGCACATTCTATTCAGGCTTTTTGGTATCGTCCTACTGTGAAGATAACACCTTTTTGGTGCATGGTGCATCCCTCCTGGGGGTTGCAGGGGTGCGTTTGTTATCCATGAAGCTCCTGAGGTGAAAACGAACACAGTACACCCTTCTTATTCTTTTTTTGGAAAAATACTGATATCCTCATCTTGAAGACTTTGGTTCGCTACACTTCTCGATCTTGTACTAATAAATTCGGTAGACTGAACACCAATAGATGAAAAAAAAGAAAACTACAACAAACAACCTCCGTGAACGGACGCCTTCTAGTAATTCCTTGTAGGACACTGATGGAATGCATGTTCAGATGATGTATTTTTTTTTTTCGGAGTCAGATTGGAGTTATTTTGGAACTTTATTTGTATGTCTTTTATCAAATTGGAGTTATTTTGCAACTGTGTTTGTGCCGGGGTGCTGCAGCTTAGATAAACACCCTCCAATTTCAGTTTGAGTTGTCAGGATTAAAGAAGCCTTGCTAGGTTCTGTTGTTTGTTTTTTGTGTTTTTTTTCTTCCTTATGTAAGCAATCAAATTTTATACTACTAAAAGGAAAAAAAAAATGATGTAGCATGATGCTCAAAACATAACCCCTAACACTGTGTTTGGTTGAAGAATTTGAAGAGAGATTAGAAAAAGAAAGAGAAAATGTGAGTGAAATATAAATAAAATATACATACATTTCATTTAATTTTATACATTTTTTTCCCTTTTTCTTTCTAAATTTCTCCCTAAAGCTCCAAATCAAACACACTGTAAAAGTACACCATGTAGAGAGGCCAAATACAAAGCCAAACTCGTAAGGGAACACAAAGGTGCTGTTTGGTGTAACTGTTAAAACAGATTATAGATTGTAGCTTAACAGATTACAGATTATAGATTATGACTTTAATAAGAAGCTGTTAATCTGTTTGGTATAACTGTTGGATTATAGATTTAAGTTGCTGAGTAGTGTTTGTTAAATAAGCTGTGAAGTAACTTTTTCAATTAATTTTTATTTTTTATTATTCACTATTTGTCTATATTTCTCATAAAAAAAATAATAACATTTTATAGTCCATTTGGGTCTTTTTCTATTTTTAAAAAAATAAAAAATAAAAAAATTCAAGAGTATAACCGTGAATTAATATGTCCACAGCAGAAGCTGATAATCAGAAGTAAGGGGTGAGCAGCTTCTCAGAATTAGCTTTTTTGACTTAAAATAAGTTAGAATCAGAAGCTGTTTGAAATAAGTTTAACCAAACAGTCCAAAATAACTTTTTAAAAGCTAGAAGCCATAAGTTGGCTAAAAAAAGCTTCACCAAACACCCCCAAACTAGCCTAAAAAACTTGCCAAAGGAGCAAAAAAAAGCCAAAGTCAACACAAATAGGGTAAGAACAATTAACAAATTTGCTTATGGGCTTGAAACTGTGTTTGGTTTGAGAATTTGATTAAAGAAATGGAAAGGAAAAAGGAAATGCAATCTATTTTTTATTTGACTATAATGGAAAATATAGGGGGGGGGGGAAGGGAAATGCAATCCCACCTTTTTTATTTTTATTTTTTTTGTTCACTTACGCTGTGTTTGGTTGGAGGATTTGAGGAAGAATTTAGAAAGGGAAAGGAAAAAGTTAGGTGAAATGTGAATAAAATACACCTACATTTCACCTAATTTCACACACATTTTCCCTTTCCAAATCCCTTCCCAAATCCCCCAACCAAACACAGCATTAAGCTCTTTTCTTTCTCCATTTTCCAACTCAACCAAACAAAATTTGGAATTCAAATCCTATTAATTCTTTTTCCCTTTCTTTGTATTTCTCTTTTCCTTTTTATTTTCCTCATCAAATCTCCTAACCAAATACAGTCTGAGTGTGCAAATCTTCTCTTCAAGAATACCAATACTGATACGGTACCTGTGTTTGTATTATTGAACTGTGCTTGTAAAGAGTCCAATATGTAGCGTCAGTGTGTCCTCTTGTTCTATTATTGTAGACAAGTGCATGTAATACCAGTACTGGTGTAGTAGCCAAGTTCATGTGTTGTAGCATATTTGCCCTAAAACTCCTTCTTTTTGCCTATATAGAGGGCTCTAATAAGTCTAGACTCCCATGAACTTATCACCTAGTTCATTCAACATACATTTTCTTCACCTAGGGATGATGGCGGAGGAAAACTATAATTCGATTGGTCTCCGACTCTTGCCTTTCAAAAAAATGAGTTGAGAAATTTGTCAATGAGAATCAGATTAGGAAATAAAAATTAAAAAATTCAATATTTAAAATTTTTAAAAAATATATTAGAATAAATAATTTTTTTATAAAATAAAATCATTATTATTTGATGATTTAAAATGACGGTTAAATGGTTTTTTTCTCTCCTTTTATATGTTTTTTGAATATCACACATCTTTGAGTAATTTCATGTCGACCGTGTGTTGACCTAATATAAGAAAACTATGATTGTGTGACTCAATAAATAAAAAATGTAGAGAGAAATTAATAAAATATTATGCAGTGTGTCAAGAATACTGAATAATTTTTTCATTTAGGAGTTGCTTAAGATGACTTAAATAAATACACTTTTTATCTTTTTACGAAAAGATATGTAAAAAAATAAAGAGATGATATGATAGAAAAAAGATAAAAAGATAGATTATTTTAGAATTGCCAAACTTGGCCTTAATGGTTCCATCCTTGCCTAAAAGGCTTGAAGGTATGTCAATCGATCTCACAATTGACGCATCCCTGTGGATTCCAATCAGGTTTAACCTCAAATCTACGGCTCTCCATCCATATCCCAAATGAATCTTGAAAGTTCCTCGCTCACCCAAGAAATTTCGCAGCCGCATCGGGATGGACAGAAGTAAGCTTCAGTATCCTCCTGAACATGCCCAGAACTACCAATTTTAAAATATGCTGAAATTGCTTGTTCTTTTTTTTTTTTTTTCCTCGACAAAACAGCAATGTAACTCTGTGCAGAGCTCCAAAGAACAGAAGCATTGACATAAATTATCAGAAAACATGTGGAAAAATCATCATTTCACGCTTTACTACTATGGAAAAGCTACATCAAAATTTTGGCTCGAAAAAATAAAGGAAAAATAAAGCAGTTTCCTATTTCTTGATTGGAAGAAAATTGAGTCTCAGCATAACTGAAGGCTTTAACAAACAATGTAGCAAAGGAAAACAAACATTTGACTACTCAAACTCCAGATGTGAAATTTCACATTTTTACTTAAAGACGTACAAAGATAGTAAATAGCTGCTTTACTTCTTCTTCTCTCCTCCTCCAGCAGACCTGCAAACATTGCAACAAATGATGATGATCAATCACGACTATTCTAAACTCTCCACACTTGAATTATTTCTCTAGGTGAAATATTTCTACAATTTCAAGTTAAAATTGTTTTTTCTCTAAAAAATTTTAGAACATTTTGAGTGCCCACTAAATTGGTACGGAAGTTGGAAAATTACCTCATCTTGCGGAGGACATTAGACATCTCCTCACGCTTCTTCTTTGCCCTCTTGTGTGTACCCAGCTTCCTCTTAGCCACTTTCAAAGCTCGCTTATCTTTCCCAACTTTAAGCAGCTCAGTAATTCTCTTCTCGTATGGTGCAAACCCAGCAACTTCTCTGATCAGGTTCCTCACAAAGTGGACTCTTTTGCTAGTTTTCTGAGATACATCAACAAATCAACTCCACATTTGGTAAAGCTCACAATCTTAAATACTTTTATAAAATCATTGTATTCATCAGTTTCAAACCACCCAAAAAATCACATCATGCACCAAAAAAATAAAAAAAAAAACATATTTCATTCAAGTTCTTGCCCACATAAATAAATACCAAAAAGACTAAACAAAATAGAAGGTGAAATATCAGGGACTGAGGCCTCGTTTGGCAAGTGTTTGTTTTAGTCTAAAAGCAAAAAAGTCATTAAAAAAATCAAAAAGCCTATAACTTATACAAAAAAGTCAAAAATTCCATTTGCACATATTTTCGTAAAAAAATCAAAAAGTCATTCCACGTACTAGTTTTAAAAACCAAAAAGTCATTCCACATACTAGTTTTTTTTACTTCATATTTTAGCCAAAAAGCTAAAAAGTTACTAAAATAACTTGTTCCCAATTGAGGCCACATATTTAACAAAAATTAAATCTATGTACATGTGAACTAAAACTATTTTGAAAGGTAGAAAATCAACAGCACGCTTTGCCACGGTCACAATCTTAAGCACGTATATCAAATCACACAGTATTCATTGATTTCAAACCACCTAAAAGATAACATTATTCACCTGATATAAAACATTTTCAGTTAAGTTCATGCACACTTAAATAAATACAAAAATAAAAGAAAGATCAAAGATCATAGACTAGACGCATTACACAAAAAATAAATCTATATGTGAGCCAAAATTAATTGGAAAGGCAGAAAATCAAACGCACATTTTGACACGCTCGCAATCTTAAACACAAATGAAATCACTGTATTCATCAATTTCGAACCACCTGAAAGATCACATTATTATTCACCAGAAATAAAAGCATTTTTCATTTTAAGTGAATGCCCACATAAAGAAATACCCAAAAAAACAAAATGGAATGTCAAAGATCATAGACTAGAGATGTATTGAACAAAAATTAAATCCATGTAGATGTGAACTAAAACTAATTTGAAAAGTAGAAAATCAACGTAGAAAATCAACTAACCCCTTTCCGATCAGACGGGCGCGGAGCCAATTCTTTCTTGGTTACAACATGACCTTTGTTCAACCCCACAAAGAGGCCAGTATTTGGCTGTTTTGGAGCCATTACCTGTTTCAATAACACACCCAAATAAACTAAAATTAAATATTCATGTAGATCGAAACAACAACAACAAAAGACACACGCGCACACACACACAGAACAGTTCTCCAAAAACCAATCTGAGTTGTTGATCTAAATCACATACAAATATATTCAGATTTGTACATGAAGATCCGATAACTAATTGTTTGTGGAGCTACTTCGTGCCTAAACATATAACAGTTTGCATCCAAAATTGAATTACAGAGATTGGATTATACAAAAATTACATACACAAAATGGGTTTTCAAAAATGGTGAAAAAGATCGGTGTTTCAGTGGCAACGGATAGGTAAATAGATATCTATATATATACGATTGATAATCTCAAAATCAACTGAACTTGAGCTTAGTACGGTAGCATAAAATCTCAAAGAAAAGAAATAAAGCTAACAATGAGAAGATTCGAAGCTGATCGCAGAGGATTGATTGTTTACCAATGCAGCGACTATCGACGGCAGGTGGAAGAAAGAACTAGGGTTTTGCGGATGCGCTGCCTTTTATAGCGCTACCATTGGAGGAGTTAGATGCAAATAACGAGAGAAATTGAGGGTAATTTGGCAACTCTGGTGAAAGGGCCACCCATTTCTTTTGAGTGGGCCTAAATACACCGAATCCGGATCGTCGATCGCCCTTCCCTGTCGCCTTCCTCTGTCGCCCCCAAAACGACGTCGTTTTAGGGGCAAATTTTTAAAAAAAAAAACGCAAAGAAGAGGGAGGAAGGAAAGGAAGAGGGAGAGGGAGGAAGGAGGAAGGAGGGAGGAGGAGGAGGAGGAGGAGGGGAAGGGCCGGACTGGAGGGGGCCATAAATACAGGGGAGGAGGAAGAGGAGGTGGAGACGGGTCGGAAGGCGGAGGCGACGGCGGTCGCAGGTGTTTCGACTGCTGCGACCTGCGACGGCGGCGAGGGACGAGGACGGCGAGCTACTCTGTAATTTATTCCTCATTCATGAGCTTAGCTGCTGATGGTATCTGGTGGAATCCGGATCACCCGTCGCCTTCCCCTGTGGCCTTCCTCTGTCGCCCCCAAAACGACGTCGTTTTGGGGGCGACAGGGGAAGGCGACGGGTGATTCGGATTCTAAATACACCACCCATTTATTTTTTGAACACAATACACCACCCATTTATGAGTCCACAGCTAAATGCTCCACTCTCTTCATTCCTTTTAATAAAAGTATTTAGAGTAGTATTATATAAATAAAAAAAATTATATATAATTTTTATACATAATGATATAATTCAGTGTGAATTTTTTATTTTAAAATAAAACACTATTGAAAATGAATTTATTTACAATTATTAGGGCTGGGCATAGGATTATCCGACTTGCGAAAATCACTCAACTTGAACCATCCGCACCTATTTGAGCAGTTTTACAGATTCGTTAGGGTCGAATGTGGGTTAAGATTTTCCTATTTTGAGGGTTGTGGGCGGGTTTTACCCATACCCGTCCGCATTTGTATTCATTTTTTTTTTTTTAAATCTAGACCGTCAAATTTTCTTGTAAGTTTTATAAGTGTGTAACCTTAATCTTCTTTATTCTCACTCACTTCACTCAATATCAACAGAGTAACAGCCTCTTCTCATTTCTCTCTCTCTCTCGTTTTCAATGTATTAACTAACCGGGGATCGGTGAATCGACACACTAAAAACCTTTGGCCGGCGACAAGAAGCAAAGCTGCAAACTTTTGGCGAATAGATAAGCTCCTTTTCTTTGGGCACCTTATGACTTGTACAAACGCTCAACGTGAAAATGTGGACTGGACTTGCCGATAAATTCCTCCAGTTACTTTTTTTTTTTTTTGTTCTAATCATCATTTTGCAATTGTTTGTTTGTTTTTTTTTTTCTAGTGTTTTATTTATCTTTCAATTTTTGATTTTCCTTCTAGCTTCTTCTTAGGCCAATTTGTATTATATTCTATTAATCTTGTCTTTGAGAATAAAAAGAGAGAAAAAATGGGGATTATTGAATTCAATTGATATTGTCGTTTTGATAATGTTGTTCAAAGTAGGAAAGTGAGATGAAATTATGGAAATGACGAAAAAGGTCCAAAAAGAATATTTAAAAAATGGAGAAAAACAAGCTCAAAAATAGATTTTTAAAAGAAAAAGCCAAATTCGCAAACTATTTGCAACTGCACGCATAGGACTGCAAATGAACTGAATTGTTCATGAACAAGCTCGGCTCTGCTCGTCAAGAGCTCGGCTTGGCTTGGCTTGGCTCATTTAGTAAACAAGCCGAGCTCAAGCTTAGATATTAGGCTCGTTTAATAAACAAGCCGAGCTCAAACTCGAATAAGCTCGGTTTGTTTATCTTTATTTAAATAATATAATTAATATTAGAAAAAAATCTTATCTTGTTGAGTTGAGGCGAACTCAAGTTTCATTAATATTAACGAGTCGAGTAAGTTCGAGCTCAATAAATAAGTTTGATAAGCAAATGAGTTGAGCTCGAGCTCAGTAAGGCTCAGCAGGGCTCGACTCGGCTCGGCTCAACTCGTTTGCTACTCTACATACGCACATCCACGAAACTTATCCCACAAACCGCAACCCACACTGCAAGCGGTTACGAGTTCAATTTTTCCCAAACCGCAGACAGCCGGAAAGGTCTAAATCGCAAATTGAATTGTCAAAAATTGATCTGCGAGCACCCCCTAACAATAATGACATTGTCACATCATTCTTGTCAAATTTTTTGTATAAATTTTATGTATATTTAGAATTTTCCAAATGTTTTATATTAGTCACGGGATCGAAATGAGCTGGTTTATCATTTGATTAAGGTGATGCGGTGTACATTTTCACTTATTGGCTTATCCAATCCTATTTTAATCATATGTTTTGATGGTATACCTTTCAATTCATTAATGTACGGGGTCCTATTTAATCATATATCATGGTGTATCTTTACACTTATTAACTTATTATCGTTATGACTTCACCATTGACGCGAACTCTACCTACACCACTGTCATTATCACCATAAGTACTATCATCATTTTAGTACTGAGTCCAGATCCTCTGCGGTGCCCCAAAACGACGTCGTTTTGGGGCAAATTTTCAAAAAAAAAAACAAAAAAAGAACACACCAACACAGAGAACCAAACCAAGGAAGAGAGATGGGGAAGAAGATACAAGCACAAAGGAAGAGAAAGATGAAAGAAGAATGGCATCCCACCAAATTTAACTTCTGCCCACCCTCCCCAACATCACCTTCTCTCCATCTCCTTTCTCTCTCTGGGTTTTATGATTTACCCAATTTTCTCATCTGGGTTTTCCTCAAATCCCTCATAAACCCATTCGATATATATATATATATATATATACACACACATACATATAAACACTTCGAACATCCAAATGATAAATCAAAATTGACTAAAAAATAGATCAATACAAACAAAAGCAAAGAACAATAGTTCGAAATAATTTCCTCTCCTCCTCTTTGATTTTGGATCTCAAATCTTTCATAGAGATTTTGAAACTTTGATTTTCTTCATAAATCCATCTTTCTGCATTTCAAATCTAGGTTGAAACCGGGGGCAAAAAATAAAGAAAGATTAATAATAAATACAAAGAAACACAAAGTGGGTGTTTTGGTAACACCATTGCAAGAAACTTAGATCGTCAACAACTTGAAGAAAAAAAAGATGGAGATTTCAATCTGTTGGGCCAGTCTCTGAAAGAGAGAAGGTTTTAAGAGAGAGAAAAGAAAGGTTTTTTTTTTTTTAAGAGAGAAAAAGAGAGATCCTAGATAAGAAATCTTCACACCAAAAAAAAAACGAACGACCTTCTTTTCTCTTTCTCCTCCTCTGTGCTTGTATCTTCTTTCCCCATCTCTCTTCCTTGGTGGTGTGTTCTGTTTTTTTTTTTTTTTTTAAAAAATTTGCCCCAAAACGACGTCGTTTTGGGCACCGCAGGAACCACCGCAAGAGACCACGGCAGAAGATCCGGACTCTTTAGTACTACCACCACACTATCACTATAGGCGATGATGCCACTATCACCACTATTACAACCTTTCACTTTCACCTTCATTGCTACCACCACCACCACTACACCATCACCCTTTCACATCAACCACCATTGTCATTGGCACCATAGTTATCGTTACCACATGCACCACCTCACTACCGCAATATAAAATTTATAGAAGAAAATTTTAAAATAATAAAATAAATTTTAATTTCATCTTGCACATATTAAACAATTTATTTTCAGTTAATTACTTAAGTTTTTATCAACAAATCTTAAACTTGAAAAAATCAATTTTTAAATTTTAATTTTATCCAACACACCTAAATCACAAAAAACGAGAGAGGAAGGGAAGCAAAAAGCAGAGAGAGAGGGGAAAGGACTTTTGGGTGTAGTGAAAAAGTTATGGGATTAAATGGAGATCACATGTTTCCCATGGGACCTATGGGTAATTTCCCCAAAAATAAAAATTTTAAGAAACCTTAAATGGGCAAAATCCAATGTTTGGATTGGGCTAAATTATCAGCCCACACAACCATTATCAACAGAAAGTAACATTTATATTGTTTGGTTCTAATTTTTTAAATTTAATTTTTTGAAAATTATTTTTTTTTCATATTTTTTTATTGTTAGTAATTTTTTTAATTATTTTAAACAATTTTTTTACTTTTTAAATACAGTTAATATAAATATAATTAAAAAGTATAATATTTGTGAAAAAAACTTTAAAAAATTTACTAAATACCAAAAATTCAAAAAAAAATTCAATACATTTTCATATTCTTGTGTATTTATCTTTTAAAATATTTTTTTATAAATATTTTACTTTTTAGATACATTTAGATTAAGTGCATCTAAAAAGTAAAAAAAAAAAACTTAAAATATTAAAAAAATTCACTTAAAACAAAAATATATGAAAAATAAAAAAAATCAATTTTAAAAAAATTGAATAAAACTTTAAAAAATTTACTAAATACCAAAAATTCAAAAAAAAATTCAATACATTTTCATATTCTTGTGTATTTATCTTTTAAAATATTTTTTTATAAATATTTTACTTTTTAGATACATTTAGATTAAGTACATCTAAAAAGTAAAAAAAAAACTTAAAATATTAAAAAAATTCACTTAAAACAAAAATATATGAAAAATAAAAAAAAAAATCAATTTTAAAAAAATTGAATTTTGAAATTGAAACCAAATAAGGTGACTATTGTTCCGTAAGGTCCAAGGCATTGGACTTTGGTTGTTGACAACAACTTCATGTAACCTAAAAAATTTGTCTTCACAGCCATTTTTGGAAAAAAACACGACACAGAGTGGAAGGTTTATGTAAAGAGAAATATTATGAACATATTTAGCAACACCATTATTGTAATGTTAATTTGTGATTCACAATATCAATCAATGATTGACATGGTTGCATTTTATTTTTTTTGTTCTTGATGGATAAAATCATTTTAACTTTTCACTAAAAAGTGAAGGCAATTACAGAGAGCTAAATATGAACGACATCAATTACAAATAAAATAAGAGTTGCATTAAAGAAG